TGACACGAGGCTTGCTGCGGGAGGGGCGAGGCGAGGGGGGATGCCCCCGGGCTTCTCCCTGCGCTCCCCGGGGTGCCCCCGGCACGTGACGCGCGACCTTCGGGACTGAGCCTAAGGCTAGTGGCATCTTCGGCAGCTCCTGACCAGTCGGCTTCCTTCAGGAAGCCCGCCTGGATTGAAAGAGACAAAATCGAGAAATGTGCATTGTAAGTCTTGGGATATACGAAATAAGCGAAGAACCTGATCATTTAAATACAGTCCGAGGCGGCAGTGGCTTGTGAGACCTGGAGTTTCTGGCTCAGCTGCTAGATCTCCAGCGAATGAGTTGACGCTTTCGAGCCCCAGTTTCTCTTTTATAGAGGGGTGTTAATGCTGTACCCACTACCCACCCCCGCGTTCCCTTCACTGATTGCTGTAACAATGAAAATAGGTAAATGTGAAAGGCTTTGAAAAGAGACAAACTACTATGCAAATATGAGACGTTAGACTGAAACATCGTTTGTTCAAGAAAAGGTTTTCAAGAATGACTTCTCCGAATCGCTGAAATTTTTAGGATAGAAAAGTTTGTGTTCGTCATTTTCTCTGGAAGTTATTCCAGAATGTAGACTCTACTTTCCCACTTCCCTGAAACAGCTGTTACCAAACACAATCTAATCCTTTTCTTGACAGAAAGTAAGTTCATGACTTGGAACTTGAGTCCCTGGTGTGGTACCTTAATAGAACGTGGACTTCAGGAGTGACCCTGAAAGGCCCTTGGTTCCTGCGCTAAGTACCCCAGTGCTTCTATGCACGTGTAATTTTAGTGTCTGTTAAGTCTTTGGCTTTTCTGCTTCTGTGTTGTCAGGCAAGCTGCTTGCTTACTGGCTGGAAAATGCAGTGGTTAAGAGTAAGGACTCCATCCCTTACAGACTGTGGCCTTGGGCAAGTTGGTTAACCTGTCTTTGGTGGTTTGTATCATAAAGCATTTCACATGGTACTTGGCTCAGGGCAAGCACTGCACAAATGTTAGTTAATAGGGGCTTCTGGCTTAACATAATTTATGAAACGATATTCAGGACTGTTAGCACTGTATGAAAATGTATCAATAGAACCCAAGCTTGAGTCAGAGAACTCATCTAGAATAAAATTCATAAGCTTATGGCAGCTGTTTTTCTACTCAGAAGCTTTTGTTGTTGGTTGGTTGGTTTACTTTTCTGGGTTGGAGTTATGTTCTGGGTGATTGAAGTTACTAGCAGCTGAACCTCTCAATTTATAAGCAAAGGTGAGGTTGTAAACTATGGTAAAGAAATGGTACAGAGAGAAGGGAGTAGGAGGTGGTCCCTGTGGGGTGGAAGCAGTCACGGACAATGGTGGCTTGAACTGACCTAGAGAGAAGGGCAGGATTTGAGTAGATTTAGGAAAAGTGCAGAAG